GATGCCGGCGTTTCAGGCAGCAACTTCACCTGCTGCACCAATTTTCAGGTTTTCTGGTATGAGCCAGTCAGTGCTCCTATCAGGCACAGCATTCCAGGGGCCTTAGCAATCATCTCCCAGGTGCTGAGGACAGAAGTAGCCCTTGGCTAGTGCCATGGCTCACTTGGCTAATCCTCTGCCTGCGGCGCCTGCACCCCGGGTTCTAGTCCCGGTTGGGGCGCTGGGTACTAGTCCCAGTTGCTCCTCTTCCAGTCCAGCTCTCTGCTGTGGCCCTGGAGGGCAGTGGAGGATGGCCCAAGTGCTTGGGTCCCTGCACCTGCATGGGAGACCGGGAGGAGGCACCTGGCTCCTGGCTTCAGATCGGCGCAGGGCCGGCCATAGCGGCCATTTAGGGAGTGAACCATCAGAAGGAAGACCTTTCTCTCTGTCTCTCTCTCACTGTCTATAACTCTGAAAATAAAAGAAAGAAAAAAAGAAAAAAATTCTTATGTTTAAAAAAAAAAGCCAGCCCTCTATTTGGGCAAGGTTAAATAATCTCACACATAGTCATAAAATTAGCTATATGACCATCACCATTGTGTGAAAACTCCATTTTTGTCCACTTTGAACTATAAATAAAATAAAAATCACTACTATTTACTGCAATAACAAATGAAAATAAAAGTAATTTAAGTTTCGCTTGGGAAAGAAAATGAACACAAAAAAAGAAAGAGAGGTAGCAGAGCATTTGCATGTCACCACGGTTAGTTTGCAATTTCGCGTCATCACAACCAACAGACTAGATTTTCTTCTTTTAAATGAGGAACTGCTACAGATTGGAAGAGCTTAAGGGAGCACAACAACCCCATGTGATGTGAGAGCCTAGATTTTTCCAGGAACAGAAGATGAGCACGAGGGAACAAAATGAGTAAAATTCAAGTCAGATCAGTAGTTTACTATTAAGTACTCCTGTTACCAGTCTAAACAGAAAAATAGAGCTTCTCAAAAAAACAACAATATTTTTTTGGGAAGCATGGGGATCGGTGATGGGAAAACACATGCAGATGACCTGTGGTTGTATTGTCAAAGACAGATTGAGAAAAGGGAAAGTCTAAGGCAAATATGAGGGGGATTATACCAGATTTTTTGCGACGATGAACAGTTAGCCACAATGATGGACAATCACTGTGACACTAGTCTGACATTGAACAGAGTTGCTGGGCGGATTTGTACTTTTGGTATCAGGCAGTGGCTTCTGGGTAACATGGTTCTTGGCAGAGACTTTGCTGAGAGTTACTATCTGGTGATCACATGTAAGAATGAGGTGCTGTGGTATAGTGGGTAAAGCCGCCACCTGCAGTGCCAGCATCCCATATGGGCAGCGGTTCAAGTCCCAACTGCTCCACTTCCAATCCAGCTCTCTGCTATGGCCTGGGAAAGCAGTAGAAGATGGCCCAAGTCCTTGGGCCCCTGCACCCATGTGGGAGACCCAGAAGAAGTTCCTGGTTTTGGATCAGCTCAGCTGCAGCCATTGATGGCCAATTGGGAAGTGAACCAGCGGAGAGAAGATCTCTCTCTCTCTCTCTCTCTCTCTCTCTCTGCCTCTCCTTCCTTCTCTGTGTAACTCTTTCAAATAAATAAATAAATCTTAAAAAAAAAAAAAGAGGTTGAAAAAGGGCACAGCTAAATAAATAGTAAGGATAAAAATCTATCCAGAGCCCTGAACAAGTATCTCTTTTTTTTTTTAAGATTTATTTATTTATTTGAAAGTCAGACTTACACTCAGAGAGAGAAGGAGAGGCAGAGAGAGAGAGAGGTCTTCCACCCACTGGTTCACTCTCCAATTAGCCGCAGGGCCAGAGCTGCACCGATCCGAGGTCAGGAGCCAGGAGCTTCTTCCAGGTCTCCCACATGGGTGCAGGGGCCCATGGACTTGGGCCATCCTCCACTGCTTTCCCAGGTGCATTAGCAGGGAGCTGGATCGGAAGTGGAGCAGCTGGGTCTCAAACCGGCGCCCATAAGGGATGCAGGCGTTGCAGGCAGGGGCTTTACCCGCTACGCCACAGCGCCGGCCCTGAACAAGTACCTTTCATCAATGATGAAAGATTCTGATCTGAGTTCTTGTGGGACTTGGGCACTTCACTTGAGCTAGTGAAGCCCAGATTCTTAGTGTACTGAATTTTACAAATCAAGTTACATATAAAATATGCATTCTCTCAAGGGGACAAGGCCGGCAGCAAAGGAAAGACACGGCTTGCCCGAGGAGAGGCCAAGATGGCTTCTGACCCTGAGGAATCCAGAGCCACTCGGTGGGCCTCACCAGAGGTCAGCAAGCTTCCCAGAGATCCCTCGATCCTGGTAGGTCCAGCTCCTCCAGCCCCGCCCCTCAGGAGCCTGCGAGAGAGCGCACTTTCCCGGAGCTCTGGCCTCCATGGTACAGGGAGTGGAGGGGAGTCTGGAAGGGGCTGAAGACGGGTTATTGCAGTGAAAGTCCAGAAACCAGTGTCAGCGGATGAGCAACCAGGTTTGCATTTCAGTGATTTTTTTTTTTTGACAGGCAGAGTGGACAGTGAGAGAGAGAGACAGAGAGAAAGGTCTTCCTTTGCCGTTGGTTCACCCTCCAATGGCCGCCGCTGCCGGCATGCTGCGGCCGGCGCACCGCGCTGATCCGATGGCAGGAGCCAGGAGCCAGGTGCTTTTCCTGGTCTCCCATGGGGTGCAGGGCCCAAGCACCTGGGCCATCCTCCACTGCACTCCCGGGCCACAGCAGAGAGCTGGCCTGGAAGAGGGGCAACTGGGACAGAATCCGGCGCCCCGACCAGGACTAGAACCCGGGGTGCCGGCGCCGCAAGGCGGAGGATCAGCCTAGTGAGCCGCGGCGCCGGCCCTAGGTTTGGGCTTCAGAGACTGAGCAAGCGCAGAGCGGAGGCGCCGTGGAAATGCGCGGATGAAGTCTTCCCGGAGGCTGCAGGCTGCAGGCTCATGCTCCCCGCCCTAGACCCACACGCTGAGCTCAGTGCCACGGCAGCCCCCGAGGCTCCTGGAACATTGTGGGGCAGCCGCTGCCTCCCAAGGAACCGAGTGTCCTTTCCCAGTCGTGAATTCAGCGTCAGAAAGCGGGACGTGACAGCCTGCACTCCGTGATTAGGATCCAGCTGTCTGGTCTTTGTTCCTCGGGACCATAATCCTACCAAGCCGTATAGCTGCTTTTCGGGCTGTTACTACATTTCAGCAGACTGCTAAGCGGGAGACTGTCTCCCTCTACGCACAGCCAAAACCATCCGCTTCCCCCATCTCCCCGGCAAGCTCCCCCATTCAGTAGTTAGGGGAGAAATTATCTTTGTTTCTCTTGGCAATTTTTTAAGAACTGAATACTGAATCCGAATATTTTGCCTTAATTTTGTGTGTGTGAGAGACAGAGAGTTGGGAAAGTTCGCCAAATTTCTATCGAAATGTCGCATTCTAATTGATTTATTTGGTGTTCTAAATAGGATAGCTGCTAATATTTCCCCCAGCTTGTCATGTGTTAACTTCATCAACTCGTGCTTTGGCCACACAGAAGTGCTGGGTTTTAATCCTTTATTGTCTCTGCCTTTGTTACCATGGTTAGGAAGGCCTCTCCCGTGCCAAGATTGTAAAACTATTAATCCGTATGTTCTGGGCCTTCTATGGAGCTGGGTTTCGCGTCTTATATTTAATCTATCTGGAGGCTGTCTTGGCATGGGACTTGGGTAAACATTTAATTTTCCCCCAGATCATTAGCTTTCTGTCAGGACACCGTTTATGGAACTCTCCGTTCTTCCCCTAACGTTCTGGAATGGCTGAGAAGTGAGGGAAGAGTTCTTGGGCGATTATTCACATCCACACTGCTGACAAGAATCCCTTCGGGGCTGGCGCTATGGTGTAGCAGGTAAATCCCCAGCCTGCAGCGCCGGCATCCCATACGGGCGCCGGTTCGAGTCCCGGCTGCTCCTCTTCCGATCCAGCTCTCTGCTGTGGCCTGGGAAAGCAGTAGAAGATGGCCCAAGTGCTTGGGTCCCTGCACCCACGTGGGAGACCCAGAGGAAGCTCCTGGTTCCTGATCAGCGCAGCTCCAGCCGTTGCAGCCATCTGGGGAGTGAACCAGCGGATGGAAGACCTCTCTCTCTGTCTCTACCTCTCTCTGTAACTCTTTCAAATAAATAAATCTAAATAATAATAATTCCTTCGGCCCCACCCGGCACCCTGGGACCAGGCCCCACCCAGGATCTGGGCAAAGACTCCCCAGTTCTATCCAGGGAGAGCTGGGTCTCACCGGGCTCTCCTCGACCCCAACCCTCGTCACTTTCTCCCCCGGCTTTCCGTTCAGTGGACCCATTTTCCTGAGGCTCCTTAAAGCGACGTCCTAAGATCTGTATGAGAAATGTGCCTCCGATCGCCTTTCCCACCGTCCTGATGACCACAGCTGGTCTGGACGGGACTGTCCTGGGGTGACCTCAAAGGCAGGTAAGACTACCAGCCAGGAGAGGCGTAGAGCCGTCTAAGCCCCCGAGGCCTCATCAACTGACTTCTCCTCTGGACTCCGTTTTTCTCCACGAGAACCCTCGGGCCCGGGCGTCGTGGCTCCGTGGCCAGCCACACGCCGCTATGGTTGTAGGGCTGCAGGCCCCGCAGCCTCCAGAAGAACTACATTTCCCACAGTGCCCCGGGCGGCGGGACGGCGGGGCGGCAGGCGGGCCCGCGCGGGGACTCCTGGGAGCTGTGGTCCGCCGCTCGCGCCGGCGCGCTGCGGCTAGGCGCCGGCCTTTGTCCGTCTGCGGGCGCGCGCCGCTGCGGTGAGTGAGGCCGCGGGCGGGTCACTGCGCCGGGCGAGGCGGCGCCGCGTCCCTGAGCGGGCCTGTGGGCCTGGGCCCCGAGGGGAGAGGTCGGCGGCCAGCCAGCGGAGAGCTCTCTGGGCCGAAGCGCGGGGCCTGGAGACCAGGCCTCGGGGCGGGGGGGGCCGGGGGCCCGCGCGGGAGGGGGCGGGGGTTCGCTGCTCCCTGGGGATGGGGGAGGGGCGCTCTAGCAGGTGCATCCCGGGGTCAGCCGCGGGGGTCTCAGAAGCGGGTCCGGAGCCGGCAGAGCTATTAACCCTTCAGTAAGCGAGGACAGGATGTTGTAGCTACCTGCCCAAGGTCTGGGCAGACTCAGGGAGCCAGGGCAAAAATCCCAGTCTCTAAGGACCCGATTCTGAGCTTTTTCCAAGAATATAAAAAGGCGTTCTACTAGGCAAGCCAGTATTTTCTTTTATCCCCTCAGTATCTTCAAAATCTTCAGGAAGGTGACTGCTCAGAGCTGTGAACTAGGGACAAAACTGTGGCAGTTGCCCCTTATTCTAGAAGGTTCCTGAGTTACGTTTTCGGGGAGCTCCCTGCAGTGGAAGAGACAGAGCCCTCGATTTTATTTCTACCCACTTAAACTTTCTGGACTCCCGAGGGACAGGCTGCAGGAACTATGCACTTTTGCATTAATTGTGCATTTGTTTTTTGTTTTAAGATTTTATTTATTTGAGAGGTAGAGTTAGAGAGGCAGAGAGAGGTCTTCCATCCAATGGTTCACTCCCCAAATGGCTGCAATAGTCAGAGCTGAGCTGATCCAAAGCCAGGAGCCAGGAGCCTCCTCTGGGTCTCCCACGTGGATGTGGGGGCCCAGGCACTTGGGCCATCTTCTACTGCTTTCCCAGGCCACAGCATAGAGCTGGCTTGGAAGAGGAGCAGCTGGGACTAGAACCGGCGCCCACGTGGGATGCCAGCGCCACAGGAGGAGGATTAACCTACTGCACCACGGAGCTGGCCCTGTGCATTTAGTAAACAGTGATGCCTCTAACCTAAGAGGAGTAGGAGAGCAGAGCTGGACCTGTCTCCATTATGGAACCCGTCATGGAGGATGAAGTGTTCCTGTGAATCTGAATCATTCAGATACGGAAGGTCAGATGGTTAGGCAGCAAGTGAAAGATCCCGATCATGTACCCGAAGTACAAGCGGGAGTGACCATGAACTTGCCGTTGGCAGGAAGAAGTGTTTGTGTGCTTTCTTCCTCCCCACCTCCTGTTTCCAGCTGGACTCAGGTGTCAGTGGTCTGGTGCCTTTGGGCCCGTTTTGCAGGGGACGAGGGTGACTGCCGTTGCGTCGGGCAGCTACATCCGGGCTTCCTGTGTTTCCTCACACCCCAACCCCGAGCGCCTGTTGACTCCATCCTTCTCACTTACCGTTTCTCCTGCCCTTGCCTGTGTGTTTTTGTGGTGGTGTTTTTGTTCTGCCCCCTCCTCAGGTGGTCAAGAACAGCCCATGGAAGACTCCTATGAAGAAGTGGCAGTTAAGGTCCGAGGGCAGGAGTGGACATGTTTGGATTTCCAACAGCTACCCTGCTGGACTGTCATGGACGATATGCCCAGAACGTAGCGTTTTTCAGTGAGTGAGTTGGTTGATCCCTGGGCCGTCCTCAGCCCTGGTCAGCTCACCATGGGGGCGGGGGGGGGGGGGGGTGCAGGAAAATCTGCAGGCTGTAATTAAAATATGAATCAAACAGGCTTGATACAGAGATATTCCTGAGATAGTCTCGGGATAAAGGAGCACCTTTAAATCTTGGCTCTGTCCCTGCATAAGGACAAGGCGGGACCCACGTGTAAAGTGTGCGAGGTCACGGTCAGTACCTGCATAGGAAGTGTCTGAGAACACCTTCTCATCCCATCATCATGTAAAAGACTGAAATGAGCCAGGAGCTTCTTCCGGGTCTCCCACGTGGGTGCAGGGGCCCAAGCACTTGGGCCATACTCTGCTGCTTTCCCAGGCCACAGCAGAGAGCTGGATCGGAAGTGGAGCAGCTGGGACTTGAACCAGCGCCCACATGGATGCCGCACTGCAGGCTGGGGCTTTAACCCACTGCGCCAGCCCCATAGCATTGATTTTAAAGGGATAAATTCCTTGCATCTGATTTTATAATTACACAAATTGCTTACCTTCCCCAAGCTCCCAGCTCTTGGTAAAATGGGATAGTAACCGCTATCTGGTAAGGTTGGAGGGATTAGAAATCAGAGAGAAAAGATCCCAGGGATTCTGCCCCGTATTTTCTGAGGCAGTGGAGCTTACTCCGTCGTCAGAGCAGGATGGACGTCCCCTGAAGCCGACGCGGCTCAAGACTCCAGACCCCTCACTCGAACTGGTCTCCCCGAGCCCTGTGCCTTATTTCGTGCTTTTTCAGCAAGGGGCGCCTCTAAGTTTTAGAGCTTTGGGCCCTGCACAACGTGGAGCCACCTGTTTGAGAGCCAGATCAAATTTGAGTCTAGGACTCCATATGATCCTGTATGGTTTTCCTGATGTTCTGGGCCTGCTTTCTGACCTCTAGAGATAACAATAGAGGCAAGAGTATTTGGAAAGCTACGCTGAATTCAGGTGGGAGGTGGTGCACGGTTGGAGCAGGCCTGGGTTTGCGCCCCGGCTGTGTGACCTTGGATAACCTCCCCGCGCGCTCGTTTACATCTGGAACCAGCTCAGAGGATCGTGTTCAGGATCGTGGCACACGATACAGACTTGGGGTTTTGTTTTCCTTTTTCCCTTCTCAGCACCTTACGTGACTTCCCTCTCGTTTCACCAGATGTGATGACAGAAGCCCACAAATATGATCACACCGAGGCCACGGGGTCCTCCAGCTGGGATTTCCAGAGTTCTTTCAGAAGAGAAAAGCTGGAACAGAAATCGCCAGACTCCAAGACGCTACAGGAAGAGTCCCCTGGAGTAAGACAGAAGGTTTACGAGTGCCAGGAATGTGGAAAATCCTTCCGGCAGAAAGGCAGCCTCACGTTACACGAGAGAATCCACACTGGCCAGAAGCCATTTGAGTGCACCCACTGTGGGAAAAGCTTCAGGGCCAAAGGTAATCTTGTCACGCATCAGCGAATACACACCGGAGAGAAGCCCTATCAGTGCAAAGAGTGTGGGAAAAGCTTCAGCCAGCGAGGGAGCCTGGCTGTCCACGAGAGACTCCACACCGGCCAGAAGCCGTACGAGTGCGCCATCTGTCAGAGAAGCTTCAGGAATCAAAGCAACCTGGCTGTCCACAGGCGAGTGCACAGTGGCGAGAAGCCCTACAGGTGTGACCAGTGCGGAAAGGCCTTCAGTCAGAAGGGCAGCTTGATTGTCCACATCAGAGTCCACACGGGCCTGAAGCCATACGCCTGCACCCAGTGCAGGAAGAGTTTCCACACCAGGGGCAATTGCATCCTGCATGGCAAAATCCACACGGGAGAGACGCCTTATCTTTGTGGCCAGTGCGGGAAAAGCTTTACCCAGAGAGGGAGTTTGGCTGTGCACCAGCGGAGCTGCTCACAGAGGCTCACCCTCTGACTGCCTTCCGCAGAGGCCGTTCTCTTTCTGAATGAAGGGTACAGATCCTCTGCCGCCCAACAGCTTCTCCAGCTACATGGGAGAAGTGGAGAATCTCGGAAAGACCACCGCTGGGTGCAGCAAACTGACTTTTTCCTCTCCCCCAGATGAGTATAAGAAATAAATGTCTTGTTTATTATCAGTATCACAGTCTTCATAATTTGTCAGTTTATTTTGGCCTGGTTCCCCTCACTCATCTAACATACTAGAGAGTGCTGTGTGTGTAGCAAGTATTTTTCATTTTTAGTCGATACCATCAGCCTCTGAAAAAATGAAATCAGCCCCTTGTCAATTCCAAGGTTCTTTTCTGTGTTGTATATTCCAGTTAATTTCATCTTGCACTCAAGAACCCATGGGTAAATCTATTGAATGTAATAATTTTCATATTAAGCATCTCATTACCTGAATGACAGCCCTAATAACCTAACGAACCACTCATGGCCACAGAGGCCCTAGGTTTGGCGTTTGTGCTCTGAGATTTACTTCAGCCCTTCATTCCTAATGGGGGTGGAGATAATTTGCTTAATAACCAGAGAGCAGACGACTGCTATCGGCAGTTTCTAAGAGTCGTGAGCCTGCTATGCCCTCTGTTCAGGGGACTCCTGCTCCCTGAGACGTGACCTTCACCCCTCCTGGGCGACAGCAGCCATATCTCAGAGTTGGGGTCATCTGGAGAGGACAGAATTGCGCTTGGTTCCGAGCCTAGATTTGTGGTTTAGAGTCAGTAATGAAGTTCCACTCCAACAACTATCCTCTGTCCTGGACAGGGATAAATGTGGAAGCATAACCCATTCCTTTTTTTTTTTTTTTTTTTTTTCAAAGCTGTAGCAGGGCTGGGGAACTTTATTTCTGCCAGGAGCCATTTGGGTATTGACAGCATCACTCGTGGGCCATGTAAAATTACCAACTTAAAACTTAGCCTGCTTACATGGACTGAACTTGAGTTGTCCTGCAGCTGCCAGGCATCCCCCACCCCTGCTAGAGGATGAGATTTGAAGGAGGTGGGGAGCAGAGGTTGGCTTTGAGGGAAAGTTTCCATTTTCTTACCAGAACCATCTCTAATTGTTCATGCCGAGCGTTTATGTAATAAAAATGAAGCATGTAGGTGTGTGGTTTCTTAAAAAGGTATCATTCCATTCTTTCCAGTAAGAGCCTATAAACTGGTGGCTCCTTGATGCCAAAAAGCCTCATGAGAGCAAATCTTTGTCATCTAAAGAGAGAAAGGATTGTCAAAGATCTTTGAGCACCAAAACATTTCGGAAATAAGTTTGAATCATAAGAAAACATTCAGAGATGTACATAAGAATGTTCTTGTCACCTCCATTCATAATAGCCACACATTGCAAATAAATTGCCAAAAATAAGTAAGGGATAAACAAGTTGTGTTATATTCACACAATGAAGTACAGCTTGGCAATAAAAAATAACAACTGACAAATTTGCGACATTGTGGGTGAATCTCAAAGCCTTAGTTACAGTGAAAGAATCCAGATACACACGAATATGTGATTCCATTCATATAATTCCACAGGACAGGAAAAAGAAACAAGGATTGACTGGAAAGGGATACAAGGGAACTCTAGGGTGAGAACATGTGCTATCTCTTACTTCCGGTGGCACCTGCATGGGTCTACAACTGTCAGAGTTCACTTACCGCTCCTAAGATCTGTGCCTTTTATCTCACGGAAAGTACACTTCCATAGCAGTTGAGGCAGTTTTAAGATATTGCCCACAGTTCCTTGTACTCATCCCATGAAGAGATGCGGTCTGTGTCACGTCCCCTTGAGTGTGGCCAGACTTGGGGCTGCTTCAAACAACAGAACACAGCAGAAGTGATTCCACTTGACTTCCAAGGATAGAGCTGAAAAACCCTTACAGGCTCCAAAAACTCCGCCCAGCTCTCCCAGGAGACTTGCTCCAAAGCACCATGTTAACTTGCTGGCTATCCTGACACAGGGGTAGTGGACAGTCCACGCGAAGTGGCGCAGCCAGCATCAGCTCCGGCGATAAGTGGCTCACAGGTGCTCAGTCCAGTAGAAACTTCAGAGCTGACTTCCAACCGAACCCGCATGAGAGGTCCCCAGCTGACACTGCATTACCGAATTGCTAGCAAAATCGCAAGAAAAAGAAAACACTTTCAGGAAGTTTGTATGCAATAATAATAGAAAATACAATTTTCCATTTTAAAAAATGATACAGTATTTTTTTCAAAAAAAGGAAAAATAGAGGGCAGCAACCAGATACTATCTTACTGGTTAACTCAAATCAGGAAAATATGATTTATGATTCATTAGAGAACTTAAGATTTAAATTTTTTTTTATTTGCCAGAGTTAGAGAAAGACAGAGAGAGAAAGGTCTTCCTTCCATTGGTTCACTCCCCAAATGGCTGCTACAGCCGGCGTTGCACCAATCCGAAGCCAGGAGCCAGGTCTTCCTCCTGGTCTCCCATGTGGGTGCAGGGCCCAAGCACTTGGGCCATCCTCAACTGCTATCCTGGGCCACAGCAGAGAGCTGGACTGGAAGAGGAGCAACTGGGACAGAATCCGGCACCCCGACTGGGACTAGAACCCAGGATGCCGGCACCGCAGGCAGAGGATTAGCCTAGTGAGCCACGGCGCAGGCCCAAGAACTTAAGATTTAAAAGTAAATATTCCTTTTGACAAAATGAGAGGCAGGATATAGATTAGCCAACCCACGTACAAGTTATAAAATAAATAGATGCTAGACTCCAGCAGACCTGCCATTAATAAATGTATTTTTTTTATTTTTGTACAAGAAATCTCATAAGCTAGAGCCAGTGCTGTGATGCAGCAGGTTAAACCACTTCTGACGCCAGCATCCCATCTCAGAACACTGGCTCAAGTCCTGACTGCTCCACTTCTGATCCAGCTCCCTGCTAATGCACCTGGGAAGGCAGCAGGTGATGGCCCAAGGGCTCGGGCCCCTGTACCCATGTGGGAGACCCAGAGGGACTTCCAGGCATTCAGGATATTAGTGAACAACGGATAGAAGATGTATCTATCTAGCATCTGTCTGTCTATCCCTCTCTTGGTCACTCTGCCTTTCAAATACATTTTTAAAATAATTCTATTTAAAAGCTGATAACCTTGGTTCTGCAGAAAGGAATAAGTAAATAAGAAGTAAACCAGAAAATATAGATTTAATGATATTATTCCTATTACATATATTATGATTAAATATCTAAAGATTGTTGCTGTTTAAAGTAATAATGAAAGTAGAGTGTATAAACAAAAGAGTTAGCTACATAATAATAAGAATAATAAATAAAGGATGGTAGTAATTGGAGCTGGCACTATGGCGTAGCAGGCTGAGCTACCTGCAGCACTGGTATCCCATACAGGTGCCGGTTCCAGTCCCAGCTGCTCCACTTCCGACCCAGCTCTCTGCTGTGGCCTGGGAAAGCAGTAGAAGATGGCCCAAGTCCTTGGGACCCTGCACCCACGTGGGAGACCTGGAAGAAGTTCCTGGCTTCAGCTCAGCTCAGCTCTGGCTGTTGCGGAAAGTGAACTAGTGGATGGAAGACCTATCTCTCTAACTCTTTCAAATACATAAAATAAATCTTTAACAAAAAAAGAGAAGAAGTGTTGGGACCTGTGCTGTGACTAGCAGGTAAAGCCACTGCCTACAGTGCTAGCATCCCATATGGTTCAAGACCTGGCTGCTCCACTTCCAACCCAGCTCTCTGCTGTGGCCTGGGAAAGCAGTAGAAGATGGCCCAAGTGCTAGGGTCCCTACACCCACGTGGGAGACCTGAAAGAAGCTCCTGTCTCCTGGCTTCGGATCGGTGCAGCTCCGGCTGTTGCGGCCAACTGGGAAGTGAACCGGCAGATGGAAGACCTCTTTCTCTCTCTCTCTCCCTCTGCCTCTCTTCTCTCTGTGTAACTCTGACTCTCAAGTAAAAATAAATAAATCTTTAAACAAAAAAAGAAAATGGATCTTAGTGGAGAATGGGACTGGCAGTGAGAGAGGGAGGAGAAGGAGGCATTGGGAGTGTGGGTGGGAGGTTGGGTATGATGGGAAGAATCACTATATTTATACTTAAGAAATGCATGAAGTCTGTACTCCTTAAATAAAAGGTTTCTTTTGGGAAAAAATGTATATAGAAACAAGTACCATATTGTTCAACATTTAGCATTCTCAACTGTTTCGCTAGTGCAAAGCACACTAAAATGGCAGTCCATGCATGAGAGAAGTTCTCCTTGATAGGGATACAGGCGAATGTTTTGAAGTGTGCGATGTGTGGCATGCCCCAGCCCCTGGGCGGTCAGAAGGAATGAACTGGCAGGACCTACTCCATGCCCACATTTGGTGGCTTGGTCTTTGTTACAGGTTCCCTTACATTAAAGTTTAAGGGCTGACCCTGGGAGAAGAGCTTTCCCATACTCATCACATTCGTAAGGTGTTTCCCCAGTGTGGAATCTCAGATGTACAACCGGGCTGAGGAGTGCCAGAGGGATTTCCCACATTTCTTTTCCCTTTTTTTTTTTTACATTTATTTATTTATTTATTTGAAAGGCAGAGTTACAGACAGGCAGAAGCAGAGAAAGCGAGAGAGAGGTCTTCCATCCGCTGGTTCACTCCCCAATTGGCTGCAATGGCTGGAACTGTGCCGATCCGAAGCCAGGAGCCAGGAGCTTCCTCCAGGTCTCCCACGCAGGAGCAGGGGCCCAAGGACTTGGGCCATCTTCCACTGCTTTCCCAGGTCATAGCATAGAGCTGGATGGGAAGTGGAGCAGCCGGGTCTCGAACCCGTATCCATATCAGATGCCGGCACTGCAGGCGGCGACTTTACCTACTATGCCACACACAGGCCCCTCCCACATTTTTACAGTGATAAGGTTTTCCACCACCATGAATCTCTGCCAATCAATAAGGGTTGAGCTCTTTGTATTTGGGTAGTAAACCAGCAGATGGAAGATTCTCTCTCTCTCTCTCACTCTGCCTTTGTAATAAATAAAATCTTTAAAAAAAAAAATGATTAACTAAAAATGCAAGCCCCAGACAAAGGCATAATACTACATATGTAATCAACAACAGACAGTGTGAACAGCACTTGAAATAGACAATATGTAAGGGCCAATAAAGATTTTCAAATATCTTAACTCATTAGATATCAGGAACACGGATCATGAAATCACAGTGAGATATACTGCACATCTACCAGAATGAAGTGGCCTCAGGGCTTCTGTAAATGTAGTCTGAACACATCCGGGCTTTCAGAAGAGGCAGGGTGGTCCCAGCCCCAAAGGTTATGAATTAACTTGTCTGGGTGTCGTTTGGCATGGAGATTTTTCAAAGCCCCCAAATGATACTGAGCGAGTACAAATAGAGGAGCACCACACACGGACAAAATTTGATGGTCCTTTATTGCCAGTGGTGGAGAGCGGGCTCATGCCCTAAAAACTCTCGACCCTGAAACCCAAAGCAACAGGGTTTATAAAGGCAAAAACCACAAAACCGGGAGGGGAATACATGGTTGCTAGGATCCGGGGGAATATATGGTTACCGGGGTCAAGCTGACCAAAAGCCCATGCGAAACTAATATCAATTATAATCTTGACAATACCAGCTACAATCAACAATTTCAATTATAATTTTTTTTTTTTTGACAGGCAGAGTGGACAGTGAGAGAGAGAGACAGAGAGAAAGGTCTTCCTTTTGCCGTTGGTTCACCCTCCAATGGCCGCCGCGGCCGGCGCGCTGCGACCGGCGCACCGCGCTGATCCGATGGCAGGAGCCAGGAGCCAGGTGCTTTTCCTGGTCTCCCATGGGGTGCAGGGCCCAAGCACCTGGGCCATCCTCCACTGCACTGCCTGGCCACAGCAGAGGGCTGGCCTGGAAGAGGGGCAACCGGGACAGAATCCGGCGCCCCAACCGGGACTAGAACCCGGTGTGCCGGCGCCGCTAGGCGGAGGATTAGCCTAGTGAGCCGCGGCGCCGGCCCTCAATTATAATTTGACATTAATCCAGATATTGGCTGGCTTAAGTCATATGTAGGACATAGACAAATTACATTTTTATCATTAACCCAGGAGCAGCCTATCAGCTTCCAAGCTTGAGCGATCATGCTAGGGGGTTTCTACACTGTGCTAAGTGTGATGTAGGGGACTGCTATTAGCTGAGTGTTTTAGATCATAGTTTCAGACCAGAGTCTCATGGGGCGGGGCAGGGGGAGGAGTCTTTCTCAAGATGGAGTCTCAGGTGCTTCAAAATGGAGTCCCTACTGTCAAGGTGTTACTTCGATACTAATGTGTCAAGTAATTTCAACCCACCTTTGGAAAGTGAGGACAGGTGGGACAGCTACTTTGGAGAGCTGTTTTTGTGGGTTTCCAAATGATCTTGTATTGATTTCAAGAATAACAACAACAAAGAAGCATGTTAGAATCTATGACATCCCAGCCACTAAAAACTATTTCCTCACCATTTGCTGACATAGAAACAGGGCTTGAGACACCCCCATAACATATCAGGGTGCCTGGTTCAAGTCCTGGCTCCTCGTGGCCGGCACTGTGGCGTAGCAGGTAAAGCCACCACCTGCAGTGCCGGCATCCCAAATGGGCACCGGTTCGAGTCCTGACTGCTCCACTTTTGATCCACCTCTCTGCTATGGCCTGGGAAAGCAGTAGAAGATGGCCCAAGTCCTTGGAGCCCTGCACCTGTGTGGGAGACCTGGAAGAAGCTCCTGGCTCCTGGTTTTGGATTGGTGCAGCTCCGGCCAGTGCAGCCATCTGGGGAATGAACCAGCGAATTGAAGATCTCTCCCTCTCCTCTCTGCCTCTCCTTCTCTCTCTGTATAACTTTGACTTTCAAATAAATAAATCTTAAAAAAAAAAAAAGTCCTGGCTCCTCCACTTCCCACCCAGCTTTCTCCTAATGGGCACCCCCAAGGCAGCAGATGATGGCTCAAGGGTGTGGGTGCCTGCCACCCACTTGAGAGTTTGGATCTGAGTTGACCTGGCCCAACCCTAGCTGTTGCAGGCATTTGGGGAGTGAACTGGAAGATGAAAGATCTCTCTCACGTGCGCATTAGCAGGGTGCTGGATTGGAAGTGAAGCAGCCAGGACCCGGACTCATATGGAATGCC